CTTTCCCTCTCAGACCAAAGAAAAAAGAGACAGCCAAGACACAGTCACCCCGTCCGACATCATCAACAAACAAAAACCCCACAAAGAGACGAACCAGCCAGCCAGCCAGCCAGCCACCATCTTAACAGGCTGCTGAAAGAGACACACAGAGAGAAAAGAGGCTAATGCTTATTTTGATCAACAGGTAAGCTGCTCCAAAAGAAACACCACTAACACAAATGCACACCATGCATACAGCCCTTTCTACTAGTTGGTGCAGTGGCATTGTAAACGGGGGGGGAAACGCAGCGACGGTGCACGGTTGGAGTTGTAGATGGCGAAATGCATGCTCTCGGACAAGTGAGAAGATGAAATCTGTTCGTCATAAAAGGAAGCCCGGCTATCAATGGTGCGTGTAGGATACAAAATAACTCTGTTAGCTGTTGGTAGTTTTACGACGGGCAGCAGTCGGTTTGCGTCTTATGTAACTAACGGCCTGAGCAGCTTTCGGTGAGGAAAGGGGGATCTGCTGAATGAGGGAGGAAAAGAGCTGCACCGCTTGGAATTCACATGGCAACTCACATTTAGGTTAGGACACCCAAACGCTACACAAATACAAATTGAGGGGATACTGGGGATGGCTATTGCTTTGATTTAAGACTGAGTTTGAAGCCAGCAGCAAAAGGACGCGGAGTGACTTAGTCGCCTCAAGTAGGTTTGTGTTTATCTTAAGTTTTGTTTCTTGCTTTTTGTTTTTCTTGACATTCATTCACGATATGCGGCACCCTGACTGAGTTGCTAGAAGCCGGCGACTTGAAGTGATTTTGGGGCAACAACGTAGCGCTGGTGTAACTACCGTGTGATACTTTTTGATATTTTCATTGATAACTTTTTCGTTACTACTATTCCGACTGCAAACTTGATACTCAAGTTCATATTTGTTGGTCCTCCGAATGACGCACGTCGGCGAGAGGGCGAGAAAGAGGTTTATGCTGTAAGATGAACATAGATAGATGGTTGTAGTTTATTCGCTTAAAGGGGGGAAAGTTGTGAAACTCTAGGCCAAAGAGGTTGTGTTTATCAAGTGGTTTACAGCCGATATGGCGCTGTTTTTGCACCTCTTTCATTGTTAGGAAGCTCCTCGAGAGCGCATGGTGGATGTGAATTGTAAAAGATCCACAGACATCCTCTCTTATCAACTTGAAAGGAAGACAAGCACTTATCAGCATAAACGTCCCGCATTTATTTATTTTTTCGCCGCTGTTGTTGAACTTTTCGTGAGTGATGCCGGGAAGCCTGAGTTGCATTTCCACTCAACTTTGAAAAAGTCCCCCCTCCCCTCTGTCGTAAGAAACTGTGATGTTCCTTTGAGATAAGGGAGCTGGGTAGGCATGACAACTCTGTGGGGAGAGCAGAGTATGTGAGGCCAGTACAATGAGGCACACACTGCGAGGAAGCTTTGTACATAGTCCCTCACAGTTCTCCAGTCCTGGCCCCCAAAGAACTGCTTATATGTGGGCCGACTTTTATTCAACAGATAACCTCTGTCATTTTTTTTTTTTTTTTTTTTACCAGAGCGGGCCCCTGAGACCCCACTTGTCTTTAAAGTTCTCTTCAAAGCTTTGCATTTGATCAGGTAAATAATAATGTATTAATTCACTGGAAAATCCCATGTAAGGTTAGTTGTAAAACATTTGTGCTTATTTGTAGTTCTACTTGGGTTTCAGGGTCAAGCGTAAATGTAAAGATATTTTGTTTTTAAATTTTAATTTAATATCTTAAACCCTCAGTTACGCCTTACAGCTTTTCCTTAAAAACCTTTTTCTCTGACAACTTTTTGGACAACTTCAGCCCCTACATGCACCCCTTCGAGTCATACAACTGTGAGGATCTTTTGAGGAAAAAAAAAAGTAAATGAACAAAATGATTTTATTAAACTTTAAAGGTTTATTTTGCAGCTTTACAGGCAGCATAATAACTCAAATCTAATTCTGAAGCCGAGTAAGTGTTTAGACTCGAGAAGCCGAGTAAGTGTTTAGAGTCGAGCTACATCTTCAGTAATATTTAAGATATGACAAATTGTTCTTTCTGTTACGTTTTCTAAAAGAAAATACTTTATAAAGTCTCACAAATGCTGTCAAAGTTGAATCAAGTTTACTGACGTTTTACAATAGAAGCCTTAAATAGCTATTTATGCCTCAGGCAAAGTTTAGTGTCTAGTAAATTTATGCGATGTGCAGGTTCATATGAAACTTTTTGTGTTTCAACACTCGTTTTGCAATACTTTGTATGCAAAATGGTGGCATATATTTTAATTGTTCCACAATTTTTTATAGTTGTAATCAAGTTTTTTTAAATTACCTTTTTATGTTTTTGTAACCTGTCAAATATCAGTTTGCTAGTTTGATACTCCTCACAGAGTATGCAGGTACTTTTGTATGTAAAGTAAGGTGAAATGCTTTTCAGCAGACATTAAATTAAATTTAGTGGGGAATATTTTTTAGACAGTGCTTTGCTCTTCTGCCTTGTTTGTTAATGTTTTTCCCTTGTTTCCACTCACTTGTGCACTCCAGCCTAGTGTATAGTCGCTCCTATGAACAGCTGCATCCAAATAACTTGTTTTTACATTAATTTTTTTTTTAAAGATCTCAATCTGTTTAGCAAGTTTTCATAAAATTTGGTCTTCCACTGTATTAATCTAGCTCCATTACTAAAGAACAATGTTCCTCTTTCCAGACATTGATTTTCATAGTGTATTATGGCCTTGTTCGTAGCTGCTATTAGATGTCAAAACAGCTGACGACTTCCTAAAGAAAACCTCTGCCTGTAAAAGTTTTTCATGTATGTGTGTGTGAGACAGAGTGGGAGAGAGCACAGCACTTTTCCCTGTGTGTGTGTGTGTGTGTGTGTGTGTTGGTATGAGCTGTGGAGGCAGCCAGGCTTACTCATATGGCTGCAATATGTGAAGGCTCTCTGCGGTGGAACTGGGAAGACAGAAACTTTTGAGAGAGAGAGAGAGAGAGGGAGAGAACACATGGAGCGAGGGAAGTCAGCAGTGTCCTGTTCAACTAGCTGGAATGTATCTCCTGTATTTTATTGATGGTTTGATGTTCTGTAAAACATGAGGAGCAACTGTAGTGATTTTGTGGGCTGCCATGCATTTGTATTTGGTCATTTCAAAATAGGAGTGCATCAGGAGGGGAGCAAGGCCCATGTGAGGTGTAGTGTAACGGCAGGCTTTAAACCAGTTCAAGCAGCTTTTGGGGAGAATCTGTAGTGATTCCAGTGGTAGGTGCGATTGAGTTTTCTGCCTCAAAATTATAAAGGAGTTTGAGCAATGGAAATGACTGTTTTTACCTAGTTTTCTTTAAAAGACTTAACTTATTCTGAAAAATTTGGTGAATATCAGTATAAAGAAGCAAAGTTATCAGTTTAAAAAATTGTAAAAATCGGAGGAAAAGCAAAAATAACTGTAGTCTCCAGAAACATGATATAAAGACTGGACATTTTTGCAAGACCTAAAAAATTTGCAGAAACCCGATGGGACTGTTTTATACAGTAAAAGAAATCATCACACCTTGTCTAGACTAGAGCCCAAGAGGCGAAACAAGTTTAGAGGATTTATTGAACTTCTGCAAAACCTCTGCTGCTTAATGCTACAGAGTTGAGGAGTTTTCTTCGCCTTACGTTATCTTCTAAAGTCAAGGAAATACACATAATCCCTCTACGACCTCTGCTCTGCTCAGTTGCTGCTGTCTCTCTCCTTCTGGTCTGAGTTGATGTGCGTCTTCTCTCGCTGCACTGTGTCCCAGTTTTAAGGAGGACAACATGGAGCAAAAGGACTTTTGTTAAAAGTTCACCTTGACTTATTATAACTAATCGGCAAACCTGTTTCCTGTGAGTAGATGGCATAGGAGCATGCTAACATATTAGGTAATCTCATTCACAAACCTGTTGCTCACTGTGGATGAGTCTGAAGTGAAACACAGTTGACTGCCTGACGCTCCTATGCAAATGTGTTGAGCTGAATAATGAAGACAGTTTGGAAATAAACTTGAGGAGTGATTGATGTGGCACTGGAAGCAACAGTTTGAAGACTTTATTGTATTTAAATTTTGAGTTTTAGTTGTGCAGTTTGATGTGTCAGACCTATGGAGAGTCTCAAGTAGTTTATCATAAGATAAATCTCATACCTCTGCATTAAGATTGTGCCATAATAACATCTGTATTCAGACAATCTTAGCAGATAACATATTAGTTAAACATAAGAAGATCAGAAGAGAGAGAGGATTATTTTCTGAAGGGACTTTTCTTTATGTGAATGCACAACTCCTATTTATTTCTAATTTCTAACCCTGTTTATTTATGATTGTGTCTCGACTCTGTGTTTCCAATATTAGGAAAGGATAGCATCTATTAGAGCAATCAGCCGTTATTCATCTCAGTCCTGCCTGCAGTTCAGATAAAGGAAAACATCCATTTGTCACCAATTGTTTATTTAAAGGAAAAAAACCTTTTTGCAGGGCTTCTGGATCTCTTGGCTCAAAGCTCTGTAGCTAGCACTTCTTTATTACCCACTCTCTTGTTTTGCTCATATCCCAAGGACACAATTCTTTTTATATTTAACTTATTTTACTGCCAGGGGACTTTGTTTTGGCTCTTTCATTGCTTTATATAAAGCTGCTTGTAATGTCTGGGATACTGAGATTGAGCTTATTCTCGTGTTGCAGTTACTGGAAGTCAGTCTGGCAAAGAGTGTCTGCTAAATGCCCTAAATGTCATCCTCACTCTCTGTCTGTGGTTAGCACAGCCTTGTTTAGGTTTGATTTCGTCTCTAATGTCTTTGGTCTATTTCAGACTTTTAAGTCTGTCTTTCAGACGGCCTGCTTCAGATAACGAGCACATGGTCTTGGTTTAGGGTGAAATGATTCCCTCTGCGTTATTTAGTTTTTTCCAAACAGAAAAATCCTGAATATAGGACGATTCTTCTTCTTCCTTTGATCCGAGAGTAAATAATCCTTGTGGCACAATACAGTGGAGACTGATAAAGTGAAGGCTGAGTGCATTTAGGCACATATCAGTGGAAGGTGGTGACATAGTCAGCAGTATAGCCCTGTTACCAGAAGATTGGATATTTCAAACCCCACAGCACCTGTCTCTTCCTTGTAATTTACTGCATATGAGTGTCTATAAAATCCCTAAAAC